CGCGAGCCAGCTTGATAAAGAAGAAGCACTCTTTGTCGCTTTTTATCTTGAATTCCACTAGCGAGTAGAAACATCCCAAAGTCTGCAAGCCATGTGTTCCATCACATCGCTAAGCTAGCACCGATTTCTATGTCTGGGTTGAATTCTGCTATGGGTTTTATCGAAAGAGACAATGTCACTGTTTGTACATTTGTATTATCTTTTTGGATGTTTTCTTCTGCCATCCTCGTCGCCAATGTAATATTCTTTCTATATCAATCTTCTATTCTAAATCTTGTATTTCTTAACCCTTCTACAATACTCTCTTATTCTATCTACATCTTTAATTAGTCCTGTCAACATAATGTCAATCATCTCTATTTTAGTATTATAATTAGTTATTAATATATAAATTGTATTATCTGTATATTACACTAAACAAGATAGTTTCAAATGATTGAAACCAAGATGTCAGCATGCCAGCAGCAAACCTCTTGCTCTGTTTCTCAGTCTTAGTCTGTGCTGCTTAACCATCCAAAGTTCTCTTGGTGTTAAAAAATATGGGTCTTGCATGCATCTCTTTGACCACTTATAACAAAAATCAAGCTGTAAGTGCTAAACAATAATTTGTCCAGTCCATATTCTTAGTCCTGCAGGATTTAACTTTCATAATCTCACAAATTTAGCCAAATGCTGACCTTTCAGTTGGATAGTTAATAATTCAGTATTTCTTACAATTTCTTACAGAAAAACGTGCACTGGAAAAAACACAAAGGATTTTCAAGGTTAAAAGAAACTGGGAAGTGTATGGCTATTGCTGGCAATGGTCGGCACAACAGTATTATGGATCACTCTGCTAAATACTGTGCCTATACATTATTCTGTTGTACTGTTCCCTCCATTATTGATTTCTCTTTAGTGCAGGTATACATTAAATACAAACAATCCCAAACTGTCTAAAAGACATCGATTGCACACACACATTTTGTTGAATCTTAGAGAATTAGTCTTAAGACTAGTTATACTTATACACTTAAGTGGAAATACGGCATTCCAACTTTACACATTTAATTTTACTAAGATGTGTGCTTTAATAGAGAAATGTGCCCAGAAGCAGTCAGGCGATGGAAATGCTGGCATTTAAGCAGTGCATGGAGGGTCTTTTACTTAGCAGTCTTTTTTTAGATACTTTCATTATTGATTGTCACAGCTGTATTGCTAAATACATCCATAAAAAGGATTAAGTTCGAATCATTATTATCCCATATAGTGAACAAGCACTCAAATCTTCCAAATGGTATATTCAATAAATGTGCTCATGCAGATGTTATATCATATAGACTTTGGCTACATGAAGGTACAATTACAAGGATTGCAATCTCTAGCAACTATGCTGTAAAACATATACATTTTGCAGATTTGGCAACATACAAAAAGGCATGCAAAACCTTAACTAACAAATCACTAGTGAAGGGAATCAAGAAAGCATCCCCTATTGCCGAAACAAGTTGCCTTGAGAGCTTTCGAAACAATCATCAGCAGCACCCTCAGATATTTACACCCCCCCCCCAATGAAAATCTGTCTCTGCAACAATCATTTACCTTGTCCTGAGAATTGCTTCATACTTCCATGTTTTTGCATAAAATGTGGGAGATGGTATGTATGGTTTTATGTCAGATTTTGAATATCCCTCAACTTTCCACCTGATGTGAAAAGAGTTACCCAAGCAGTAACCTTAAAAAGAAACATAACACTAACCTATTACTCGGCCAGCGCTCTCCCCTTGACATGTAAAATCATCTGACGTTAGACAGAGAAAAACTGTTACAATAAATCAGAGTGCAATGCGACTCAATGGGTTAATGCATGCCTTATCCAAATTCAGGAAAATTGTTGATAATTTTATTATGTGACCTCATCCATCAACTTTGAAATATACATAATTCTATATACTGCACCTTTCCAAAAGTAGAGGTCAATGTCTTCATCTGTAAGTTATTTCTTTAGAAGTGTGTAAGTCTCATTGAAGTCCTATTTAAACAGTTTTATGAATATGTTAAATGAATTTGCCAATAGGAATACATACAGTAGAATCAGAGAAGCACGAGTAGCCCCATTGTGAATGCCCCATTTGTTTACATACTGAATGTTGTACAGTATATGCATGTACAGTAAAACCTGCCACAGTTTAATGACTGTGTTACTTGTAGCTGGTGTGATGATGCCATTAAGTTTGTCAGGAAGTTTCTTCAACAGCAACACTTTGTTTGTGCCCAAGCTGGTAAAATCAAAGAGGCCACTTCCTTTGCCATCTGCATCTTTCTTTTCCCAGACATTAAATGAAACACCACAGCTGGAAATAGCATTTACAAGGTTGTCTAAATTAATTTTTGTGCAATGACATTGAGCTATATTTAGGTTTTCCTTGTGGTCTCTGCTAATTGCTTCTTTGACAAGGTTCTTCGTTAGTTTATCTGTAATAAGTAGTAATAAGTACAATTTATGGATACAGAACCCACAGCATATAACAAGCAATAGATTTCACTTTTCAAAATTATCTTGCCTGTAATCCTTAACATTAAATGCAGCTCATCAAGGACCACATTCTCTAAGGGCATATTTAGTGGAGGCCGGTGCTCACAGGACATTGTTCTCTTCAGGGCACATTTCTTTATGTCAGCCAATGTTCTCCTGCAGTTTTCCCAGTAGAAATTAATTGGTTTGGTCATGTCATGCCTGTTATTAAGTGAGACACACATAAAATTAACCTTGAGAAAAACTAAATTAGAAAAACATAAAAGAACACAAACTGGTAAAAACATTAGGAATCCTACCTTCCACTGGAATAGAGTATATGAACTACAAAGCCAAACTTAGAATTTCATATTATTTTTACGTAGGAAGCATCAAATATATTTCAAGCATTAAATTTTACCAATATCAAAAAATGTTATCATTTGGTATCTCAGTAATGGCTGACTTACAGCCTAATTTTAAAACAACAGTTGCATTATCCAGTTATATTTCCAGATCAGTGGCAAAAACACATACCTCACAGGGCTTTACAGGTCATTGGCAGAGGGTCAAAATTTGGCTTACAGTAATAGCGCCCTAGTTATTAATTTTAATGATCTAATTTTAATGATGTGAATGATACCTCTTGTGAATCATACACCAGATACATGCATAATCTGATTGCTGCTTTCAACCCCATCACAAGTAAAAGAAACTATAAAAATATGTAAGTACTGTTACAAGTTGGTTCCTAAAGCTGCTTTAATATAATTTAACCTGATGAAACAATATAATCAGGAAAGTAATTCTGCTTGAGATGTACCTTGTAGTCTCCACCAAGATACATTTCAACAGGTACATTTTTTCCATCAACCTCTATTGCACCATCTTTTACTATTTTGTTAACATCTTTGAAGATCCTGGCACATGACGTTTGCAGTATTTCATAGGATTCACTTCCCTTAATAATTGCCACAGTGTGGTTTCCTAAAAACAGTTAAAATCTAGTTATCAATTTTATTATTATCTGAAATACACTGTACTGCTGTAGTTATCATATTTTTCACGAATTATCACTGTCCCCATCTAGTCTGGAAAGTTAAATTTTTGAACGCCGGATGTAGTATTCAGAGCATACAAACAGACTGATGTTTCATTCGTATATGATACTTCAAAATGCTTTACAGCTTGTATTTATAGTCTCAGTTCTAAACCATGCATAACTAATTATTCATATATAAGACATTATACATTACTTAATCAACTATACTACATTCCTCCCCAAGTCAGTAATTGTCTCAACCTTAGATTATGTATTTATTCTTAAAGGTTCAAAAGAATTCTAACTAAATTTTTTTTTGTTGGTTTTTTTTCACACTGATTGCTCTACTTTTACTCTGACTGTTTGATTAGGTATCTTTTATTAAGAATTCGTCTTATACTAAATTTCTAATGTCCAAACGTAATCGTTTAAATGTTTCGGAGGACTTCGAATCCGAGAGGATCTCCTCAACAACTGTTCGTTATTTGGGGCTGATACCTTAGTGTTTGATTGCATCATAATTTGTTGTTTAGGGGCTTCTCCACACAATGATTCATCATCTGAATTATCATTTATTTCTTCTTCTGGACTATTTTTTCCACATTTTGTCTCCAGTTTATTTTCTTAAAAAAAAGAAGAGTTTCGAGTCACCTGAAGATCTCCTTTTTGAACAGTCAGCATAGGACCTTTTTTCCTTATCACTTGGTAGGGACCAGGTTGGAAAGGACGTTGCAATTTACCTCGTTTCTGATTTCTCACCAACACAACATCACCTTTCTCTATCTTTGAAGGTTTAGAATGCCTTTGTCGGTTAGCATACAATTTCATCTCGATCTTCGCTTTATTGTCATTCATTTGTAATTCAGCTTTTCTATGCAATTCAGGCTTTCTTGTGTCGACCGTTTCTTTGTTGCTGGGTACTTCAGGTAATTTGGTTTTCGTTGGTCGTTGGAACATAGCATCAAATGGTGGTATATTTGTAGTGGAATGGGGGGTAGCCCGATAATTTTGAAGAAACGTATATAGTTCTTGTTTCCAAGGTTTTCCATCAATTTGAGCAGTTCGTATTGCTTTTTCCAAGGTACGCATAAATCGCTCAACTTCTCCATTAGCTTGTGGCCAGTATGGAGTTATTTTTCTGTGGTAAAATCCTAGGTACTCTGCGAACATTCTAAAATCCACACCATTGAAAGGAGGACAATTATCTGTTTTAACTTGTTTTGGAACTCCAAACGCAGAAAACATCTTGTCTAACTTCGGGATTGTACTCTTTGAGGACGTCGACTACCTTGGGGTATTGAGAGTGTAACATTATGTAGTGACGGACTGGGTCCTAGTGTAATAGTGTATATATATGTGGGCTGCATGTGACTTAGGCAGTTATACGTAGATCGTAATAGAGGCCAGAAGTGTATACATGAAACATGGTGTCAGGTGTGAAAGTCTAAGTTGGGGAGCTATATAATGGCGACAAGCACGAAAACCGCTGTTGGAGAAGTCCGAATGATACAATTAAAACCGCCGGGACAAATGGATTTTGATTCAAATGATTTACCGCAGACCTGGCGACGATGGAAGGAAGAAATGGAGTTATACTTGGAGCTGGCGATGGCCGGGCAACAAGATGCCACTAAGGTGAAACTTGTACTTTATCTTATTGGAAGTCAAGGTAGAGAGATTTACAATACATTAAAATTTGAGGGTAGCGAAGAGGAACGGACAGTAGAGGATATATTAAAGGGCTTGGAAGAATATTGTAGGCCTAGGAAGAACGAGACGGTTGAGCGATATAGATTCTTTACGCGAGTGCAAGGAATCGATGAATCGATAGAGAAGTTCGTAACTGAGTTAAAGATTTTAGCGGCCACATGCAATTTCGAACAGCTTTCAGAGTCCTTGGTGCGGGACCGCATTGTTTGTGGAATTTGTGATGATAATTTAAGAGAGAATTTACTTAAAGATGCAAATTTAGATCTAAAAAAGTGCATAGAAGCGTGTCGGGCTTCAGAACTCGCAAAGGAAAGGAAAAAAATGATTCGAGGCCATGAAACAGAGCGAATTAATGATGAACTGCACAGTGTAAAATTTAAACGAGGCGAAGGCAAACTTGCAAATAGAGAAGGCAGTGGAGAGAAAGTGGAACAAAGCTTCATAGTATGCAGATACTGCGGTAGAAAGCATGAGCGAGATAAACAAAAGTGCCCCGCGCTTGGTAAAAGGTGTTTAAAGTGTAATAAGTTGAATCATTTTGCCGCACAATGCCTAACAACAAAACGTAGACAATCGAGGGTTAATCAAGTTCAAAGTGATAGTGAATCAGAGTTTGACGAATTAGCGACGGTAGATTACATACGTATATCGCAAGTGCATGCTGTGTCGCAAGAGTGTTTTTCAAAGAAAGTTTTCGCCACACTGAACGTTGGAAATCGACCCGTGAAATTCCAATTAGATAGTGGTGCAACATGTAACGTCATGCCAGTTAAAGTCCTTCAAAAGTCGGTGGGATCGTGTAAGCTTCAGGAAACAGACAAAATTTTGTCAATGCACAACAAGTGTATGGTTAAGCCAATAGGACAATGTCAGTTATCGGTTATGAATCCAAAAACGGGTAAAAGTTATAAAGTGGATTTTGTTGTCATAGAGGCCTCATGTGTACCGTTGCTGGGAAGCAGCACTGTTCAAGAAATGCATCTTATAGAAGTTAAATATGAAAACATCATGGCAGTGAATGGTAAGACGAAATCTGTTCCAGTGCTAACCAAAGAGTCGTTGGTGAAGGAACTCCCAGAAATGTTTGTTGGTACTGGAAAATTTGACGGAAAGTATGTGCTAGAAATCGACCCAACAGCTAAGCCTGTTGTTCATTCACCAAGACGAGTTCCTGTAGCACTCAAGAAGCAGCTTAAAGAGGAATTATCTCGACTTGAACGGTTGGGGGTTTTGAAGGAAGTTACCAGTCCAACGTCGTGGGTGTCAAGCATGGTCGTGGTGCGGAAGCCGAACGGCAGTTTACAAATCTGCAGAGATCCTAAAGATCTGAACGAAGTGTTGAAAAGAAGTCACTACCCAATTCTGACGATTGACGAAGTATTACCTGAGATTACCCGAGCTAGAGTGTTCAGCACGTTTGATGTACGTAACGGATTCTGGCATGTCGAGTTAGATGATGAGAGTAGCTTTCTTACAACATTTAACCCGCCGTTTGGAAGATTTCGGTGGTTGAGATTACCGTTCGGATTGGCATCTGCCCCAGAAGAATTTCAAAGGCGCCAGCAGCAAGTGGTTGAAGGTCTGCCAGGGGTCATATCCATACATGATGATATACTAGTATTTGGAGAAGGTGAAAACGATGAAGAGGCAGTCTTGGATCATGATGAGAAGGTAGCACTCATGCAAAGATGTCGCGAGCGTAACGTTAAATTGAATAAAGAGAAAGTAAGATTTAAAGGAAAAGAAGTGCCCTTTATTGGACATTTACTAACGGACGGAGGTTTGAAGCCTGATCCTGAAAAGGTTAAAGCCATTCTAGAGATGCCAAAACCCAAGGATGTTGCTGGTGTGCACCGACTAGTGGGGTTTGTGAATTACCTCAGTAAATTTTTGTCTATGTTGAGCGACGTCTGCAAGCCCTTGAGGAAGTTAACTGTCAAAGATGCAGAGTGGACCTGGTTAGACACGCATGATCAGGCCTGTGCGAAGATCAAAGAGCTGGTAACCAAAGCGCCTGTGCTGAAATATTATGAGGCGGAGAAAGAGTTAACCGTACAGAGTGACGCTTCGGGAACAGGACTTGGAGCTGTTTTGATACAAGATGGTCAACCCATAGCCTATGCAAGTCGTGCATTATCCGAAGCAGAGAAGAAATATGCTCAGATTGAAAAAGAGCTGTTGGCGGTGGTGTCCATTTTAGAGAAGTTTCATCAATATACGTATGGGCGGACGGTGACTGTGCAATCGGATCATAAGCCCTTGGAGGTGATTGTAAAAAAAGAACTTCACAAAACGCCTAAGCGATTGCAGCGGATGCTGTTACGGGTTCAACTCTATGATGTGAGAATAGTTTACCGAAGGGGAAAACAAATGGAGTTAGCCGATACTCTAAGCAGAGCGCATGGTTCACCAGAAGAGGCGACAGCGTTTGAGCGAGAAGTGGAGACAGTCAACATGACAGAATACTTGTCAATCTCAGCGGCCAGAGTTGATGATATTAAAGCTCATACAGTAGACGACAGCGAGCTGCAAAAGGTGATAGAAGTGGTAAGGAACGGTTGGCCAGAGAAAAAGAAGCAGTTACCAGTACAGGTGACGCCTTATTGGTCGATGCGAGACGAATTGTCTACCCAAGATGGGCTGCTGTTTCGGGGACAACGAGTGGTCGTACCAAAGAGTTTGCGCCAAGAAATGAACAAACGTCTTCATTCAGCGCATATGGGGATCGAGAGCTGTTTACGAAGAGCGAGAGAGTGCCTTTATTGGCCTGGAATGAACAGCGAAGTGAAAGCATATGTCCAACAGTGCGAGACTTGTCGGGCGTTTGATAGTAAACAGTCAAAAGAGCCGCTGCATCCCCATGATCCTCCGGAAAGACCATGGTCTAAAGTGGGAGTGGATATCTTCACGTTCAATGGTCGTGATTATCTGCTGACGGTTGACTACTTTTCAAGCTATTGGGAAATTGATCTGTTGGAGGGTACGAAATCGAAGGCCGTGATACGTAAGCTGAAAGCCCAGTTTGCAAGATTTGGGATTCCAGACGTAGTGATGACGGATAATGGACCTCAGCTTTCGTCTAAAGAGTTCGAGAACTTTGGAAAATTGTGGAAGTTCGAGCATGTCACATCATCTCCAAGATACCCGCAGAGCAACGGTAAAGTTGAGAGGGCAATTCGGGATGCTAAACAGTTGATGAAAAAAGCGAAGAAAACTTCCATACCAGTTAACTGGCACATCATCAACAGCCCATGTGAACCAATGTTCGAAGCGGTCTTTTAACTTTTTACCGGTTTCTCACCAAAAAGACTTGGAAGGTTGTACATAGTAACGTTGGATGAATAGGTGATTACGTTACTTTAGTGTGTCACTACAAGACATACTAAAGAATTACCCAGACAACTTTAAAGGCCTTGGGAAGTTGAAAAATCACCAAGTTAAAATACATGTGGATTCCAGCATCAAACCTGTTGCATTACCTGCCAGACCAGTTCCATATCATCTGAAGGAACGTGTCTCTCAAGAAATCGATAAAATGATGGCACAACAGGTAATCGAGGAACACCCACCCACCACCTTTGGTCTCAAACGCTGCCATTGCACCAAAACCAGATGGCAGTATTTGTATGACACTTGATGCACGCCATGTGAACCCAGCTATCCACACTTCTAACGCACCTATCCCATGACAATATATTAAAGGTGGTGCCAACGTGTTTTCAAAGATGGACTTCAAATCCGCATTCTGGGAAATTGAGCTTCATCTGGAATCCAGATATCTCACCATCTTCCATGCTAATGACAAACTATACCGCTACAAACGCCTGACAATGGGTATTAAACCTGCACAAGGAGAACTGAACTTTACATTACAACCTCTGTTCGCAAACATCCCGAATACACACCTAATTCACAATGACCTCCTTCTAGCCACGACGACCGAGGCTGAACACCTGTCAGCAATCACCGCAGTCATGGAAGCAATTACCAACGCAGGCCTTACCATATGCAAACTCTTAACCCAAAGAAGTGCAGATTCGGTGCATCTGAGATTGAATTCTAGGGGATGCGCATTGGTGCTAGTGGAGTACGACCTGTCTGTTAAAGGTGAAAGCACTAAATCACATCACAGCACCGACATCAAAGGAAGAGTTGATCAGTTTCCTCTGTATGATGCAGTCCAATGCCGATTTTATTCCAAACTTTGCGCAACATGCTGCGAAGCTAAGGGAACTTACCAAGAAGAACTGTCGATTCAACCGGACTAAGCAACATAACACAGCGTACAAGGTGCTAATTCACAAACTCAAAGATAATACGCTCCCGGAATACTTTGACATGCACAAACAAACCTTCATTTTCATGGATGCCCGCAACACCGGGCTTGGAGCCATGCTGGGGCAGGGAGTCACAATAGAGCAAGCAAAACCAATTGCGATAGCGTCTAGACTCTAGAACAACCAGCCCGGCAGAACAGAGATATCCCCAAATCGATCTTGAGGCAATGGCTACCGTAAAGGGTCCATCCGCTCTGAAAGAATCAAGCTACGCCATCCGGATGTAAGGTTTACCGTGATTTATCAACCGGGGAAGATCAATCAGTCAGACTACTTGTCCCGACATGCCAAGCAGATCAACAAGCTACCGCCAGAAGAACAAAGGGAAGCCGATGACCTGAACAACCTACTATACCTACTACACACCACACCAGCCACAGACTGTATAGGTATCAGCACCATCCTACAAGCCACAAAAGAAGACCAAACGCTGCAACGAATTGCCATGTTTATCAAAAAGCAACAAATGTGGATTCCTAAGACCAAACCCGCAGAAGTTCAGAGATTCCAACCCATCCTATTACAAATCACCACTACTGGCAATGGCATCATTCTCAAAGACGAACGCATCATGCTTCCTACAAAACTCCAAGACACAGCCATAGAAATTGCACGCAAGGGCGTGCACCCGGGCCAAGATAGTTTGAAACGCCAACTGCAATACCACTTTTTCATTCACAACATGAACAAGAAAGTCAAAGAGTTTGTGACTTCCTGTGATGACTACAACGCATTTTTCAATAAAAAGACAAAATAGCCAATTAGACCACATTGCATACCTGATAAATGTTGGGAAACTGTGGCTGAAGATTTATTCGGGCCCATGCCATCCTTGAAACACATTGTAGTAGTCCAAGATCAGGCATCAGGATTCCCCACCACCAAGCTGTTGGCGACAGCCAAAGCTGACAAAGTGATTTCAGCATTGAAGGAGATGTACGAGACCTATGGCAATCCGGATACCCAAATATTGGACAACAGACCACCATTCGATAGTGTAGCCATGCACAATTTTACCCCCGAGCATAACATTACACAGCAGACACCGCCACCACTACATCCATCATCCAATCCCGTAGAGACATTCATGCGACCATTGGGGAAAGCAATGAAGATAGCACGAGAACATGAAAACTCTGAGAAAGAGAGCCTTGAAAACCTTCTGAAGAACTACAGGCAGACTCCTCATCCTGCAACCGGTATTTCACCAGCAGCAATGGTCTTTCGAGATGGACAACGTCTAGATTTTCTGAGAAGGACAGCAACAGAAGACGAAGTCAAGCGCGGACGTTAGATAGACTTGAGGAAGAAAACCGAAAACAAGATTAAAGTAAACGGCTCCAAGTACAGAAAGACATCTCACTTTAAAGTTGGTGACAAGGTGCTTGTAAGAAATTCTAAGAAGTCTCGAAAATTTGATACTCTGTTCCTACGAATGCCATTTAAGATCATCAATATGAACGATGAAGAAAATAACATCACCATATATCAGGTAATCTACAATGATGATGATAAACTGGTTGATTCTGGTTGATATATATTATATATATATATTATATATATTATATTTTATATATATATATATATATATATATCATCTATGTATGTATGTATGTATGTATATGTATATGTATATGTATTCATCAACCCAAAAGATAAACCACCTTCAAAGAACAACTATGGCTTTAATTCAAAAGCATTCCCGCGACAAGTACCTCAACTTAGAGAGTTCGAATACAAAATGGCTATGTTAATACACAACATTGAGTTCAGAAAGATACACCGGACTGAGTTTGAAAACTCTTTGGCAAAGCATATACGTGACATAAGAAGAGATGACACCAACTTATTATACCGGCAGATAAATTGACAAACTATTATAAAATGAATTCTAGCGAGTATGACGGTTTATTAAAGAAAAGTATTGAAAAGGAATACAAAAAAGCCCCTCAGAATGCAGAAAAATCCATCAATGCTAAAGCTAAACAAATCGCATGCAAGTTGGACATAGCTGATAGAGTCAAAGTACTCCCCCATAGGAACGCATTCATTACCCTAAAAGACCATAAGGATAACTTTGTAAACAACCCATCTTGTCGTTTGATTAATCCCACAAAGTCAGAGCTGGGAAGAGTTAGTAAGCACATATTGGACAGGATAAACAGTGCGGTGATTGAACAAACTGGGGTACAGCAGTGGAAGAGCACTAAAGCAAGCAAGCTTTGAACTGGTTTAACGCTATCGCAAACAAAAGCCAGTATTCTTTCATCTCGTTTGATATTGTGAATTTTTATCCATCCATCACTGGTGAACTCCTTCACAAAGCCCTTGATTTCACTGCATCGTTTACCAACAAAGCACCTGACAAGAAAGGCATTATTATGCACACTAAGCAATTACTATTGTTTAATAATGAAGATGCTTGGTCTAAAAAAGGCTTTGCGGACTCATTTTATGTGACAATGGGATCCTACGATGGCGCAGAGGTTTGCGAGTTAGTCGGGACGTATTTGCTATGTCAACTCCCAAAGACAATCCACAGGGATAGTATTGGTTTGTACAGAGACGATGGTTTGGCTGCGTTCTGCACAACAGCGAGAAAGATAGAGGAAATTAAGAAAACAATTTGTAAAGTATTTGCAAATAACCAACTCCAGATCACAATTGAATAAAAAAAAATCTTCCTTGACGTGACGTTGAACCTCGCCAACGGATCATACACGCCATACGTGAAACCAAACAACATACCGCTTTATGTCCATCGCAAAAGCAACCACCCCCCTGCAATCCTAAAGAATATCCTGATAGCAATCAACCAACGCCTTAATGAGACGTGGTCATGCCAAAAGTCTTTTGACGCAGTTGCACCCACTTACCAACAGGCCTTGCATAAAAGCGGATATAATTATACCCTCAAGTATGATAAACATCTGGGAGAAGGAACGCCAAAAACGAAGAATCGAGCTTGTAATGTAACATGGTATAACCCACCTTTTAGGAAGCACATAGCAACTAATGTGGGACAAAAGTTTTTATCGATTGTCAGAGGAACATTCGCAAATTGTCATCCTCTAGCAAGCAAATTTTTAATAGGAATACTTTAAAACTAAGCTATTCATGCATACCCAACTTACAAGCTAAGATCAGTAACCATAACAAGGCTTTATTATGAAAGACCAATGGGAAAAAGGAAGAAAATCAACCCTGTAATTGCATGGATAGGTCATCGTGTCCCCTGGACAGAGAATGCTTAACAACAAATGTAATTTACCAAGCAACAGTGGAGATGGACACAGGAAAAGAAACATACATTGGATCAACGCAGAACAAGTTTAAAATCATATACGCCAACCACTTAGCATCATTTAGGGACAAAAACAAAATGAATGCGATGCAAATGAGCAAACACATTTGGGAACAAAAGGACAAAGGCGTCAGCTATAAGCCTTTCTAACAAATGCTGTCAGAAAGCTTTTATTAAAGAACGTGTAGCGAATGAGTATATATAAGACCGAAGTTAGCTGGCACATTTTAGACCTGACGAGAGAGCACTCACTTTGGAATGTTTTCAAAACAAACTTGTAGTTTTTATGTGAAAATAGCCTTCTTAAACGTTGTATATATATATATATATATATATATATATATATATATATATATATATATATTTTTTTTTTTCGACTCGGTACTTCGAGTCTTCTTCAGAATATCTAAATAATTTACATGTGTCTAGCTTTATATTTTTAAGTTTCGCGTTGTTCTTTAAGACTCTGTATATGTTAAGAGCGTCTGATTGGTTGTTTTGAAGTTTATCTGATATGAGTGGTAGTTGAGGGATACGTTGTCATGGTTGACTGCATTTTGTTGTCAGGGATGGTCGCTGTGGAATGATTAGATTATTGTGTATCAGATGCGGGTGGATTTTAAGTTATTATCAGTCATATTAATGTGATTATTGACAGAGTCCTTACGTTTTGTCTTAAGTTACAGATAGACTGCAGGAATGTCGATATGTCTGTTAATAGTATTGTTGTCTGTACTAAACCAAGCTTCTTTGAATTCACGTGTGTGTTTTGTTTGTGCTCGTCCCAGTAGTTCAGTTTTTGTGTTTAGCGTTGTTGTGTTCAGTTATTCGGGTTTCGATTTTCTTCGAGGTTTGACCTATGTATCGTTGTGGACAGTCTTTGCAAGGAATCAGGTAGATGGCATTTCTTGTCTCAGTGGTGGTCGTTTTGTCCTTGTGTTTTGAAAAATATGACCTAAGTTTGTGTGCTGGTTTATGTGCTATGTCAATATTAAAAGGAAGAAGTAGTCTGGCAGTCATTTCAGATGTGCTCTGAATGTATGGTAAGGTAATTGTTTTATTTTATACTTCAGGTTCTCTTTGTGATTCATTAATTTCATTAGTTTGTTTGTTGCTCAGTTTCGTTAGTACTTTGTTAATGAAATTTATTGGGTAGTTATTCTTTTCGAAAGTTTAGTACAAGTATTTGCGTTCCGCTTGTTTTGCTTCTTCTGTGTTACAGTGTGTGTGTCTGTTTGGTTAAATAACGTCCTAATGCAGCTTATTTTGTGCTGAGTTGGGTGATTATTGTTAAAATTTAAGATTTGATCAGTGTGTGTTTTCGTACGGTAAACTATGAAGCTGTTTTTGTATCATAATTGTTATTAGGTGTGCAAGTGTATTTCAACGTAATTCCATACCATTAACACATTCAATGTTTCATTTGCACATTCAATATTTCAGTTCGCACATTCGATGTTTCAATTCAACATAAATTACCGCTGATTAGGTGCCAAAATGTTTGTGGATAACAACAAGATAACAAGACCATCAAGACAAGTAGAATTGGTGAGAGTGTTTCCATTCATGCGACCAACAGTCACGTCCACAGCGGGACCATCGACCAGTAAAAATACATTTCGACCGAGTTTGTGTACTTATCCGTATCAAAGATATAAGCCAAAGGTGTCATGGACACATACTTTTATATGTTTGACAGACAAAGATAAAAAATATGTTCCCTCCAGAGAGGAAAAATGGATTTTGAAGGAAGCTGGTCTTGGAGAAAACATGGTTATTTTCACAGATAGAAATGGTTCATTTAATCATGTGAAAAGCACATTTGAGCTCCAGTTTCCACAGCTAAAAGTAGTGAATGGCATATTTCAAATTTTACGGTCTGGTGGAGCGAGGAGAGACTTGGAAACCATTCCTTTTCCACCTCTTGGTTATACCGTGGCCTATTTAAAAGATGCTATTGGACAGGCAATTGGATATATAAGGCCAGTCCAAGTAAATCTTGCAAAAACCCCTATTAACAAGGTATATTTATTGTGTAGTATGTGTGCAATTTATTTACATTCAATATATATAGATTTTAGTCTAATCTATCTGTAATATGGAAATAGAATTTTTTGCCAAATACTTAATCAAAACAATTCCTCCTTAGAGAAAACATACTCCGAAAATAAACATCTTGTAAACCCAAGATATGAGTTGTTAAAAACAAGACACAATATTCAAGGTGATATTTCGACTCTATTTCAAAGTCATTGTCAAACCTAACTATTTACAAGCAAGCTGCAATCTATATACAAATTTGTCAGGAAGTAATGATGACGTAAATCAGCGAGTTGATAAGAAATACAAAAACATGGCATCACGAGATATTTGCATGGATATAGTGATACAGTCTAAGGAAAAACTATAAGTTCCTTTGATGCCTTTAAGCCGCTATTGAGTTCTGGCTTTTTAAACTTTATATGCAGTGCCTCCAGGAACAACAACAGATTAGAGTTTGTGTTGTTGAGAGACTGGAGTATTTTTGTATTGCTAGGTACGAGTTCAGCGAAAGAGTAAAAGGAGCCAGAATCATTAAGCTTGTCAAAAAGATTGTTCATGTTAAGTAGGTAGTTTGCGTCGTCACAGTCCATTAAGTGTTTTGAAACTGCGCTTTTTAGTGGATCCAAATGTTCTGAAAGCCTTGTTGCAAAATTTCGCTCAGCTTTTCCAATATACGACATATTGCAGCCCGGACAAGTGAATTAGTAAACTAGATTGTTCCGCGACATATCCAGAATTTTATCCTTTTTAGGAAGGAAATAAGAAATCTTTTTGGTTTGGTATATAACAATAAATTTAACCGGTTCCGTTAAGTTGCACTGGAGCTTTTTAATAAGCTTTTCGACTAAAAATTCACCTTGTTTACCTAAGAAAGGAATCCTTAACAAGATTTTTGCCTAGTGTCCCCCGGATTTTCAGTATTTCCGGATGCCGTATTACCATTAGTT